TTGACAACATTTTCATTAAAAATAAAAACACAGTTCGATCTCCTGTTTCATGGACGAGTCATTTGGTTAAATGTTTTATTTACCATAATCTAGATATACGATTGGAATGTCTGAAAATATGATATATAATACCTAAAAACTAATTAGGTTTAATGTTGCATAGAAAATGTTAAATACTCCTCAACTTTAAATAAATATTTTTATTAATTATTTTATTTTTATTAAGTTAGTTTATTAAAATACTTTTAATCCATTCCTATTTTTTAATGGAATGATTATCCTCAAATAAATTATTTAAATTTTTTATTATTAAATATTTAATACAACTTATTTTAACATACTTACAATTCCTATATAATTAGAATAATTACTAATAAATCAACAAAAATAATTCAAAAGAATAATTATATGTATAAAATAATTATTGCAAATAGACTATTTAATTAATAATAGTTTTTTATTATTAATCAAAATTTTAATTTAAATCAATTAATTACGTTTTAAAATTATAATATATTAATGAATGAGCTCATCAAAATAAATTCCAATAAATAATTAGTTATAATCTATCAAAACCAACTTTTTATTATTGACTATGCTAACTAATGCTAGTTTACTAGTTATCTAATTAATAAAATTTTATTTGTTATATATATTTAAATAAATTACTATTGATTTATTATAATTAAACAGTTAACTATATTAATATGGATAAACAATGATTGATTAATTAATTAAGTATATCCATAGTGGTTTTCAACTTTAAAATTTCGAAACAAACGTGGACTTAAAGTTCGTGCCTCGAGTTAATTTTCGGGTATAATATCTTTATGTTACATACAAAGGCTAGCAATGGAGCAAGCTAGCATGGCATATTATAAAAGATCGAAACTTGGATCAAAATATTGATAAAAAATAAATAAAAATTTGAAGGGTGGAGGTTGAGCGAGCTTGTCTCGGACCAAATCTCTATCTTATCTTTGTCACACAACACTAAATATACGGTTCCTTTGTTCTTCTAGCTATGGTTTTATTCTGAGATCAAGTTTAGTAAGAAAGTTTGTCCAGATGGTTTCCCGAAGAATAATAGTTGCAAACGGTGAAAATATAATCCTTGATGCACTCAATTTCAGCGCAGCCAATAGATGTTGTGTCCTTCCAACCACCTGCCTGAAATTCCCGCACTCTTCCTCCATGCACTTGTTTTCTTTATAGTCATAATATTTCTTCTCCATAGCCCACTTGTCCACGGTCAATTTTGCTGTTGTATTATGTATGCTTCTGCCAAGTTTTCGCCATAAGGGCCATTAGAGTACTCCAACTCGCAGTTACCTATCTTTGTTTTGGCAAAATTTCGAGCATAGATAGCCAAAGTGGTGTTCCAAGACACCGGCCCGACGCCATACTCGGCACGGATGACATTGTGGGCATCGACGAAGTCTTTCGTGTAGCTTTTAGCAACCGTGGGAGAGATCGAAGCTAAGATTAGGGCAAGTTCTACTAACCAAATTGGAGATGCCATTCTAAAGAATTGTTAGTTGAAGGATTAGTAGGGTTGTATTGGTTGAGGACATTTGTGTTTGGTTTAAGGTATTTATATTAAGAAGATCACATGATTTTGTTCCATTTTGTTGGGATTAAAATATAGGAAGAGATAAAAGTGGAGAAACATTCAAATTCCTTAAATTCCTCATCATGGAACATTGCTATGTGGATTGTCGAATACAAATTCCTAGTTTCTCTCAAAATAAAATTTAATGTTTCATTATACAAAAAGAAACTTATAAAACTTAAAATGAGAGAATGACATCAATTTACACTAAAAAAAAAAAATTAAAATCTTAGATAAAATACATTTTCCCTCGAGTTTGAAGTTGGTGTATAATACATTTTTTATATCTTTTCTATGAAGTTGGTGTCCATTTGATGTTCTTTTTGTTTATTTATTTTATTAAGGTGTCTATTTGATGTTCTTTTTGTTTATTTATTTTATTAATATCATAATCGTAATGGTTCTAAATTTTCTACTTAATTGTATACATATCATGAACATTGAATGCATAAATACTTCATTTAAACTTCTTCGTAAAAAAATTTTTATCTTAAAACACGGTCATGGATTTATGTGTTCAAAAATATTTTTAAAACGACACAATAAAAGATTAAATTAAATAAATAAACATTTAAAGTAAAAACATCATGTTTTAGCCTAAGTTTAAGAAAATAAATGCAACTACCCTATGCATATGTCATGATCTCGAATTGTGGTGTCGTCATCATCCATACATGGATATCTTATCTTTATTTGAAATAAAAGTAGCACGTGGAGTCTTTTAAGAAATACTTATAAGTAACCCCACTATTGGAGTTATGCAAACATGCATTTTCATGAATGAGACCTGTCATAACAATCTATTTTCTTACTGCGGCTATCCTAATGGGCAATTGGGATGTGGACTTAATTTAACTACACACGGCCCACATGTGCGAGTATGGACCCACGAGATAGTTTGCACACCTCTTGGGCCCTCTTTCTAGTCGGGCGAGCATTCTTGAGAGTTGTTGATGTCAAACACCCGTTAGGAATAACAACCGTCACAATAGCATTATGATAAACATAATGAAAGTTTTCCTGCCTAGTAGTGTACGCGTTCGTACTATCATGAAGGAATATGGGTATCCTCCCATGCATGAACACACAATAATGCATGAAGTCCCAACATTTTTCCATTTTCATTATCATTTAATACAACCCTGCTAGCGTCTCCCTTCATATCATATCATTTTATCATATTATTTCTCATATCATTTATTGTATCTTGCACGCGTATTTTGGGTTCTATTTCATGCTAGTTCGTCGTTTTACATTATTGGGACCTCATGCATTATTGTGTGCTCATGCATTGGAGGAACCCCTATTCCTTTATGATCGTACAGACGAGAACGATCATTATGTTTGACATAGTGTTGTCGTGACAGTTGCTACTTCTAACGGATGTCCGGCATCAACAGCTCCCAGAGAATGCTCACCCGACCAGAAAGGGGCCCAGGAGGTGTGCGAATCGACTGGTGGGTCCATACTCACACGTGTGGTCCATGTGTAAGGAAATTAATTACACTTCCAAGTTGCCCGTTAGGATAGCCGCCATGGGAAAATAAACTATTATGATAGGTCTCATGCATACAACTGTGTGTCTTTGCATTATAACCCCAATAGGGGTTCGCTTACTGAGTATTTCTTAAAATACTCAAGCCACGTGCTACTCTATCTTTCAGATAAAGGCAAGGGCCCCTGTAAGGTTGACAGTTCCATCGTAATCCCAAGACTACGCTTGGAAGAGTGATAATAGCTAAATATAAAAAGCTAGCTAGATTATCCAAGACTTTGAAAAACGACCTGCCTAATCTGGAGCATGTTACGAGAAAAAAAAAAAAAAAAAAAAAAATTAAAATAACTACTCCACAACTCAACCTATAACTATTCCAATGAGAGAATCTACCCGGAGAAAAAAAAAATTGCAAGCATAGTCTCTTACATGTTTATAATAGAGCTTCATCTCAAGTAATAAAAGAGAGGAGGAGAATGAAGCATTGATTATAAGAATGTGAAAATCTATTGAGGGAAAACCCAAACAAAGAAAACCTAAAAAGGACAACATTTACTAGCGGTGCGCTTGAACCGTTACAAATAGTATCAGAGCCAAATTCTAGGCGATGTGCCAGTGAGGAGTCTAAGTCTCGAAGGGGGTGAACATGAGACGATGTGCCAACAAGGACATTGGGCCCCGAAGGGGATGGATTGGGAAGGTCCCACATCGATTGGAGAAGGGAATGAGTGCCAACGAGGAAGTTAAGCCTTGAAAGAGGGTGGATTATGAGATCTCACATCGGTTGGGGAGGAGAACGAAACATTCTTTATAAAGGTGTGGAAACTTCTCCCTAGCAGACGTATTTTAAAAACCTTTTCGAAAAAGAAAGCCCGAGAAAAATATCTACTAGTGGTAGACATAGTCTATTACACGAGTTAAGAGGAAGAGAAACCTTAGGATAGTCGTATGGATGAAAGCTCTTCATATCATCCTTGTCCATTTTCAAAACCTTATTCCTTACATTCGAGAATAAGGGTGGGCATGGTCCTAAGGGTGGGCATGGTCCTCTTTTTTCTGGTAAGAAAATTGGTTTCTTGATTTAGAAGCAACAAAACTTGTCATTGAATGTATCCTTTTTATTCTAATAGAATGAAATTCGATTAGATATTAAAAATAAGATAAGTAAATAGAGAATAAAAAAAATTAAAAAAAATCTAAAAAGGATTATTCATTTTCCTAGTCTTTGATACCAAAAAAATTCATTTTCTTGTTCTTGTGTGGAGGATCTACCCTAAGGGTAAGAATAAATAAAGAAAAATGAAAAGGTGCAATCCAACCAACTAACTAAATGCTAAATGCAATTGAGATGACAACGAAGCATTTCTCTATTCTCATTCTGAAAGGTGGAAGCTAAGACGAAAAAAGGAATCGACCGTTTAAGATAGAAAGAGGGGCAAGTAGATATGTCTATATATCTATCTATATTGAATTGTAGATACAGAAATGATAGAATCATTTTGGATCGGACCAAATACGAATACGGGTCTTCGATAGAGATGAAAGAAGATAGACAAGAAAGAAAATACAAGAAAGAAAATAGGAGGAAACACTTTTCAATAGAGGAATCGATATTCTAATGACTTCAGTGGTTCCAACATAATACAAATGAAAGAAAAAAGGGAAGAACATCATAACATAATGAGATACTAATCTTAAAAGAGGGGGATGTGGTGAAATCGGTAGACGCTACGAACTTAATTCGATTGAGCCTTGATATGTCTGATTCCGTTTGCAATTCACAATCTAAAAAAGTTATAAAAAAACAATAAATAATTCAAAGTCGAATTCCATGACAATATTATGGTGAATATTATGGTATAGAGTTGTGAAAATTACAAAACATTGGCTTGGTGTGAAAGTAAATAACTTAGTTCACATTTATATAGCACTAAGTACGTACACAAATAAAAGGGATAATTATTGATAACTAAAATAATAAATTTTGAATGGCCGAGCTGTTATTTTGATATCAAGTTTAGTAAGGAAGTTGGTCAGCATAGTTCCCTGGTGGATAATAGTTACAAACGGTTAAAATATAATCCTTGATGCACTCAACTTCAGCGCATCCAATAGATGTTGTGTCCTTCCACACCACCTGCCTGAAATGCCCGCACTCTTCCTCTATGCACTTGTTTGATTTGTATTCATAAAACTTCTTCTCGCTAGCCCAATAGTTCACTGTCAATTCCGCTGTTGTTTTCTCATATGCTAATGCCATGTTTTCGCCATAAGGTCCATTGGAGTACACCATCTCGCAGGTACCGATCATTGTTCTGGCGAATTCTTGAGCATCAGCAGCCAAAGTGGTGTTCCAAGACACTGGGCCGACGCCATAATTGGCACGAACGGCATTGTGGGCATCGACGAATTCTTTCGGGGTGCTTTCGGCAACTATGGGAGAGATCGAAGATGCCAAGATTAGAGCAAGTCCCCCAAACCAAAATGAAGATGCCATTCTAAAGAATTGTTAGTTGAAGGATTGGTAGGGTTGTATTGGTCGAGGACATTTGTGTTTGATTTAGGGTATTTATATTAAGAACATCCATGACTTTGTTCCATTTTGTTGGGATAGAAATACATGAAGAGATAAAAGTGGAGAAACATTCAAATTCCTTAAATTCCTCATCATCGAACATTGTTGTGTGGATTGTCAAATACAAATTCCTAGTTTCTCTCAAAATAAAATTTAATATATCTATTATAGGAAAAAGAAATTTATAAAACTTAAAATTAGAGAATGACATCAATTTAGTTTGTGTCTATTTGAATGGATCTAAGTCGATCACGTAGTGATATATGAGTAAAGCTATCATTTACATTGAGTTCATATACCGACTTGGAGAAATATGTATTTAATATATTTTTTTTTTATAAATCCATTAATTAAGAAGACAAATATTTCTCAAGACGATCATATACGATTGGATCTTAATGTTGATTGAGTTGTAAACTTATCCACATTCTTTGATTTACATGGGTGAAAATAATATTTCTAGCCAATTCAATAGGTCTATAATATTGTATTCTTGACTAAATAGGGAGCTAAAAATACTTATATTTCATAAGAGGAAATTCATTTTTTTCTATATCAAAAAAGATGAGTAATTCATTTTTTTCTATATAAAAAAAGATGAGTAATTTCTCAATGGTTGATTTGGAGATATAAATAAATTGGGCTCCAACCTCTCACTAGTGCAACAAGAACTTGACTTATGATTAGATGACAAAAGAATTGCTTATTGGAGGAGGGGTATAATAAGGTATATAAGATCATATCCTACCTAATTACAATGATAAGGTATAATTATGTTACTACATAGGGAATGGTTAATGGTTTGATAGCACATCCTCATATTGAGATTTATGCCCGATTAATCATTCAATTTTAATTTAATATTATTCGTTGCATGAAAAATCTAGTGTTAGTAATGCAATCTTGAATAATATGTGGTTGACAAATAAAAAGATCGCGTTTAATTAATAATTTCAAAGGTCTATAATATATAGATAAAGTTGGGTGGTTTATTATCATTACACTATCGATACAGTCTACTTTGTAATTGTTACAAATATTTGATACAAATCGTTCATGTGGAGATATGTGAATAGGTGTATCCTGTACTATGAGTTTGTACGAGACTCGACCACAAAAAATTTGACCTCTCTTTATAAATCTATTAATTAAGAAGATTAATATTTCATGAGATGATCAAATACGACTCATTCTTAGTCTTGAATGAGTTTTGAACTATTAGTATGTGAGAGCTTGTCCTTTGATTTGCATGGGTGAGAATGACTTTTGTAGTCGATTCAATATGTCAGCCATTTTGGATATTTGTCCAAATAAATAGTTGGAAACATAATTTCACGTGATGAAATTCACTCATTCGCATGTAGGGTAAGTAGATAAGTAGTTATAAGAGTTGATTTTAAAACTTGAACAACAAGGCCTCATCCTCTCATTGGCCCAAGAGGAACTTGTTTTTAAGAATAAATCATAAACAAATCGTTCATAGAGAATCAGAGGCATGTAAGGTGTAAGATATAATTACATGAGTAAAATGAACTTTTAACCTAGTTGTAATTATGAATAACTGATGAAAAATCGACTTGCTTGTAATGATTATATCAGTAGATACAACTTATTCTACGAAGAGTATAACTTTAGGTTTATAATAGAGTGACTTATAGTTTAATTAATTAATTTTGTGTCCCTAAAGTATAAACATATTGATCCATAATGTGTCACTATTGGTTTGGAGTACTACTAAAATGATCCATCCCGTTGAAATAAAAATTTGAAATGTCAAAATTAATATTTAATATATTAAAGGTAAGAAATATTAACGAGAAAGTATATTTAAAGTTAAATGTTAAAGTTAATTTAATATATTTGATATATTAAATATGGAAATATTCTCAAAGTCCCCATAAATAGGATTCTTGTAGCTCTTCTTTTAATGTATCCCAGAAGCCTTCTTCAATTTTATAGAGTACCCGGAACAAGTAGATTAGAGACATGTCAAAACTTTCTTCATATGTTTTTTTAATGCAAGTTGAATATGTAAGATTAAAAAACGATAAGAAATTTCTCTTCTTTAACCTTTAGTTATGTTTAATTCTAAATAAAATCAAAATTGACTCAAATATTTTTTCTTTGCGAATGAAATGTCAATTCGTATTCTATTGATATATGAAATGAGTGATATGGTGTAAGAACAATTAGAGGTTTGCCAGCTTATCCTTAATTGAGAATCATTAATTGAGAATCATCAAGGCAAGGTCATGAGTGGTTTCAAATGATGAGTTGATAGATGATCTCCAAGAACTAGATTATGATAAACGATGAGCTCCAAAGAGACCAAGAAACGATAAACTCCAAGAAACTAGAGAAACGATGAGTCCTAAAGGACTAACCGTGGATGATTGGTAATAGCTAAATATAAGGAACTAGCTAGATTATCTCGAGACTTCGAAAAATGCCGTGCCTTGTCATGAGCATGTTAGGATCACAAAGTGCACAAGGAAAATGAGAGAGAATCTACAACAGCTTCAAGTGAGAAAAGAGAATCAAGTCGAGTCGAGAGGAAGAGAAGCTTTAGGGAGGTCGTATGGACGAAAGTGATGGTGTTAATATAACACATGCGGAAGCAATTTGGATCTTAGGCACTTTTAGAACATCAATTATTGTAAATAACTAGCATGTTCATAAGTATTAAAACTTAATGAGTTTAAATATTAACCTTTTGTAGTTCAATCTCCTTTTGCCTCACGAATGGATATCGAACCACCACTAGTGTCTTCTCCACTATCCTCCGGCCTTAGAACGGGATTGTGGAATCTGGTGAGTGACTAAACTTGGGAGGGATTTTGTATATGTGAAGAGAGTGTTTGTGAGAGGTTTTTCTCAAGGTTTTTCACCAAGATAAAGAACACCTCCCATGTATCATGATCACTCTATTTAAAGAGTCATATTTGCATGTTCATGCAAATTTGAGATCACCAAATTATGACAGTTAAAATTCTACTCAAATGTTTGGGATTATGTGACAAGCATGCATGTTTGAGTTAACCAAATTTTGACACTCAAAATTCTACTAAAACTTGTGAGGTTTATTTGGAAAACTTGCAAGATTAGTTAAACCAAATTTTGACACCTCAAAATTCCACTAACATGGATTTTTCCATTAGATTGAAGTCAACCTTTTGACTTTCTTCATTTTAATTCAACAATTAATTTGAATAATGAATTTCAAATTAAAGTAACATTAAATGATTAATTAAACTATTTATTTAATATTTAATATTGATTCAAATGACAATCCCAATTAATTCCGACAATTAAGATATTTAAATCTTATTTAAATATCTCAGATTCTCTCTTTTTGTTTAATTCGTAAATAAAACAAAATTGCGGTTAAATATATCGTATATATATGTAACGCATATTCCCTAATTTGAATTCGAACACTTCGAACTCACTCGTCACACTGTTCTATGGTTTAGTCCGATATGAGCTAGCAGAGGGACCTAATGGACCTATAGATCATGGGCTCCAACGATCCAAGATTAGCCGGTTAAACTCATTAACCTGGTTAACCAACATTCGTTAACTACTAGGACACTCCACTATAGCCTAGTAGTTGCACTCCCCTCACTATAGATATATTTCTGTCCATCTGATATAACCATGATTAGTAAGTCGATCTTTCACAAGTTGTTCGTAACTAGAGCTGGGTCAATTTACCGTTTTACCCCTGAAGTTACTTCTTGTTCCTTATGTCTCACTGATCCTCTAATGAACAATTGGTTTGTGGTCCAACCAGTAAACCGAATCCCTCTCAGGGCAATGAGAGGGTGGGGCCCCTTGTTCAAGACCTGGAGTCAGTGCTTAAGGGAACTACCTTTCTTCTATCCCTAAAAGCGGATAGGAGTGAATTCCGTCTTGCACCCCACGTCCCCAGCCATTCACCCAGTCTTACCCCTGAAATGGGAGGCCTATTGAGTCGGCGAACTAGAGCCACTCTCACCCATGCAAATCTAAGGATAATTCCGAATAAACAGGAGTTCATGGTTAGCTCAGGATTAAAACCGAGTTACCTAGGTTATCGAATGAAAAGAAAATCAGTCTAAACAGTAAAGGAGTTCATGGTTAGCTCAGGATTAAAACCGAGTTACCTTGGTTATCGAATGAAAAGAAAATCAGTCTCAACAGTAAACGACATTATAAAGTGAGAGTGGTTTTCTTCATGGTCCGATCTTATGCAATACTCATTGCATAGGATGCCCCCACTCACATGTCTCCACATATACAATTTAGTGATCACATTGTTTATATCATATATAAAAGTGGGCCGCATCCATAGTGTCCCCAGAATAAGGTACTCAACCTTATCCTTATACTATAGATCATTTTGACTATATATTTGAACTTGATCCACTCTTGTGTCTCTACATATAGTTCAAGTAATCATACTATAGCCAGAGTGTTCTTAGTTTATTGGATTTAGATTAATGATCATAAAGTTTACTTTATTCCATAACAATTTTTACAAAATAAACAATAATAATAACTTTATTGAAAATAGAATTTGTTTTTTTGTTTACAAACTATGAGTTTTAGGACATAAAACCCAACAGAAAGCTCTTCATGTCATCCTTGTCAATTTACAAAACCATTATTCCTTATATCCAAGAGTCAGGGTGTTCAAAAACCAATCAAAATCAATCGAATCAGACATGTCCAAACCTAATTGACTGGTTTGGTCGAATTTTTCTGTGACCTTCAATCAAGCGATCACAGTTATATGAGAGATCATTGGACGAGTTTTTACATTTTTACATCCCATAGCTTCGGTAGATCGGTTAGCTCTGTTCACCTACGGCACAAGAATGCTCGATCAGTGAGCTATTATGCACTCGTGACTGAAGAAATATTTATTTTGCACACAAATTTAAGTAATTAAGTAATTTTACGATTTATCCCTCTTCAGTGTAAAAAGATGAACCCGAATGGAAGTTCAAGAAAGCCAATACAACCCGCTTAGATTATAAAAAATCACAACTTGGATAATATAACAACAACAACTAAATTTGAAAGGGTGAGGTTTGAGCCTATTATTGTGATATGGAGCTTAAGAATAGTCGCAGATGGAGAAAATAAAGTTGTTGTGGCACTTAACTTCAGCACAGCCAATGGATGTTGTGTCCTTCGCCACCAAATTCAGGAAATGTCCGCACTCTTCCTTCACGCACTTCTTTGTTTTAGGGTCATAAAACTCCTTCTCGCTAGCCCAAAACTTCACTGTCAATTCTGCTGTTGTCTTCTCATATGCTTCTGCTAAGTTCTCGGCATAAGGTCCATCGGAGTGCTCCATCTCGCACGTAGCGATCCTTGTTTTGGCATAATCTAGAGCATAGGTCGCCAAAGTGGTGTTCCAAGACACTGGGCCGACGCCATTCTCAGCTCGAATGGCATTTGTAGCATCGACCCAGTCCTTGGGGCTGCTTTCGGCGATCGTTAGAGAGATTTGAGCTAGGATTAAGGCAATTCCGACGATCCAAAGTGCGGGGAGAAAGTCGGAATATACCATTGTAACGAGTTTTAGTTGAAGGATTGGTGGGGTTGTATTGGTTTGGGACATTCATGTTTGGTTTAGGGTACTTATATGTTGAGAAGATCACATGTTTGTTGTTCCATTGTGTTGGGATAGAAATACATAAAGAGATAAAAGTGGAGGAACATTCAAATTCCTTAAATTTCTCGAAAAAAACCAAATGCCTAATCTCTTTCCTCAAATTAACTTGGTCCACAATTTTAAACCGATGTAATGCCTATTATTGAGTGCTTATAAACAAAATTAAAAGGTTTATTATAAATATAAGAGTTTATTAATATCTCTTAACATTTCAATAATTATTTTTAAAATGTTAACAAACCATGTGAACATAAAACAAGAATATCAAACTCTATAAACTAACTTACATTGTAATATTTGTGGCGGAATAGGATTAATAAGCTCACCTTGTTCAAATGATTCTCAAATGGTCATTCTAACTGATTGATTGTTGTTCTTATCGTTCCAATTGATTGTTCCATCTTAGTTTAATTTGTTCTTGTTGAGAATTGTCATGAAAATTTGGTTCAGGAATACTTTTAGTACATTCTCTATTTCAATTATGTACCTATGGTATTCATTTGGTTCATCTCCCACCTTGGTATATGAATTATCTTTATTTATGTATGCGCATTAGCATTATTATGCTATATAAAGGTTTGTTTAATGTTGTTATGAGATGTGGAGTAAGTGTCATTTTGTATTTGCCTAGACGCAATTTGGAGGAATTTTGTAAAGGAGACTTTGTAGTGTGAGAGTGTGGGAGACACACTTGTCTACACTTTGGCTATAGTTATTGGTCACTACCCCTGGAGGTAGGAGAACTTCTTCTCTCTGAACCACGTCAAAATTCTCCTATATCCACGTAAGTTGTGTCTTTTTATTCATTTATGTTCGTGAGTGCCATGGATATTTCTTCAACTTCCGCTACAACGATTGGTATCAGAACATTTTAGTTGTGACATTTGGAGTATTGTGAAAGACTTAACTTCAGCGACCATGAGACATGTTCACACTCACCATCAATTGTCAAAAAATAAGTTTCTCATTGCAAGTTTGTTTATTTGTTCAATTCCCAAAAGGCATGAAGGAAATTGATAATAAGTGGGTTTATGCAAAAAAGAAAGAATCTTTTATCATTCATTATAAGGTTTGACTTGTGGCTAAAGGCTATGCTAAGAAGAAAAAGATTTATTATAATAAGATTTTTTCACATACCGTAAAGTATTCTTCGTTTCATATTTTGTTGGTTTTGGTTGCTTAATTTAATCTTGAGCTTGCACAACTCGATATAAAAACTGTTTTTTTGCATAAAAATTTGGAAGAATAAATATGCATGGACAACCAATTAGCTTTCGAGTAGTTGAGCAACAATATTTAGTATGCAGGTTGAAGAAATCTTTATATGGACTAAAGAAATCTCCTCGCCAGAGGTTTGATCACTTCATGGTGGAGCAGAGGTATACTCATAGTTAATTTGATCATTGTGTATACTTTCGGTGCCTTGATGATAGTCTATTTATCTATTTGGTCTTGTATGTTCATATCATGTCGATTGCTTCCAAGAACAAGTGGATATTGATAAACGTCATTCCACTACTAGTTATCCATTCACTATGGCTGGTGGACCTATTTGTTGGTGCTCAATATTGCATACTACCATTGCATTGTTTACAACCCAAGTAGAGTATAAAGTAGTCATTTAAACTTGGTATTTCTTAAGAACATGTAGAGGTATTTGTGATAGCTAGCGTGTTATTTGTTTGTTGAAAAACTAAGCCCATCATACTCGCACCAACCATATTAATGTTTGATTTCATTTTGTTCTAATAATTGTTAATGAAGGGGGACATTCATTTGTTGAACATTGAAACTACTGATAGTCTTGCAAATACATTGACAAAGGTAGTTGCTTGTGAAAAGTTATAGCATTGCTTGGATCTACTAACATCAGATGTAAGTGATAAATTTAATAAAGATAAGTTTGCAGAAGTAAGAAAATTCACTACTTTGTTTTGTGAAAAATGACTATATTTATAGCCAATACAATGATTAAATGAAAGATAAGGATTTTGTGAAAAATGACTATATTTATAGCCCAATACAATGATTAAGTGAAAGATAAAAATAAAATCATAACAGAAAGCAGAACATAGGCCAAAACAAAGAATCTGACGTAAGATCATATCTATGAGCAGATATCGGAGGATTCAAGTGGCGGGGGTGGGTGCCTCCACTCAAGAAGAGGTCTGGCGACAAGCAAAGTCTGAAGCAGAGGGCCTACTTTCATCACTGCTTCCAAGAGCTTGCCTTTTTCAGACAATGGCTTGTGGCGGCAGAGTTGTAGCGAACTGTGGTGGCGGAATTGGATCGGATACAATGCTTTTTTCGCAATCCAACAAGGAGAAGCCATTGTTGGAATCAATTCCTTTCCTTGGTTCATCTTCAATGTTGAAAATTCTCAAATGGGTACCTGTTCGGTGCTGAAGGAAAAGCTTCTCAATGAGTAACTTCGGGATCTTTTCATTTGCTTCTACTACAGCCACTCTCCATGCTGACACCTTTGCACGAGCCAACTCTCTGTCCAGAGTTTTCCTTTCCTCATTCAACTCCTGAATTTTGCGTTGATAATCTCTCACAGCATCCGAGCAACCACACCACCCAACAAGGACAGCCTCCTCCAGCTCCCTCATAGTTTGCGTTAATTTTTCAACCTCTACAACTTTCTTCCAGCTTCCTCTTCCAGCTGCCTCACGTTTGCATTAATTTTTCAACCTCTACAACGTTTTGTCGGTGCATCTTGTTCAAGATTTTGTCTTGTTCCTGACAAATCTCTATCTGTTTCATTAACTTTTGATTTTTGTTCGGTAAATCATCCACATAGAGGTCTTGGCCAGAACACTTTGAACAGTCCTCTCAGCAACGACCAAAGCTGCATCCTTTGATTTGGTTAGACGATCCAATGCTTTGTTGTCATCTTGAAGCTTTGTAATCTCCTGTCGTGCAAGCTTGAGTTCAGCCTCCAAAGGTGCAAGAATGTCTTCGATTGGAGGCATGTCATCATCCTTTTGAGTAGCATGAGCGGCAAATTGAGCTGCCATTGAAGCCTTCTTCTCATCATTGATTTCCTTTATTTCAAGATTCTTATGTTCAAGAAGAGATTCTATCAACTTTAATTTCTCCTCGACCTCTGACAGTTCTTCAGTAAGCTCTTCAACTGCCTTCTCTCTAAGCCGCTCAGACAACTTCAAAGCCTTGATCTTCGCCTGAGCTTCACTGAGCTCTCTATCCTTATCTCGTACTTCATTCTCAAGGCGATTGAGGTCCACCTTCATCGAATCCGAGCCATGAAACAAGTACAAGAAGTCGTCGATGTCCATACTCGGCCTGACCAACGTCCGCCGCTGCGATGAGCTTTTCCCCTCCCTAAAAGATCCCGAGATCATCAACGACATCGAATTCGATGACAAAATCAACATCGACGTAGCCCAGAAATCCACCACTTGTCCATTACTAACCTTCCGCAAAAATCCATCTAGATTGCCAAATATCTCTACCATAACCTGATTTATCCGAATCTCTCCCTTCTCCCCCTTCTAATGCAAAAGAGGTTTAGCCTCCTCATGCAAGAATTTTTTTCTTTCTGCCACTCCGTTTTTGTGGTGGTGTAGAGGCTTCAGTAAGTTGTTGATGTGATGTGTCACATAACTGCATGGTTTCTTGCTTTTTGAACATGTACCATAAGAAGCAATTCTTTTGTTGTTACAGCTTCTGGAGCTTCAATTTTAGACAAACAACCTGTTGAGTCCTCCTTTTGTTCTACCATCTCTTTAACATATGTCATGAGAAGCAGCGGTTCAGAAGTTTCAGCAAAATGAGCTTATGATTCCTTTCTCTTATTCTTCTTGGGCCATTCATACTAAAAATGACCAAGGTCATGACAATAAAAACATTCAACAAGAGTTTTGTTAAAACCTGGTCTCCCATGTCCTCGTCCTCTACCTCGAATTGTGCCACCTCTATGAATTGTTCTCCCTATATTTCTGTAAGAGTGATCTTCAATGTCTGCTCTTCCACAGTATGTCTTTGCATACGTTGTTCATGAACCAGTAGACTACTCTACAATTCATCAATGGTCATGATGTCTAAATCGTCGGATTCTACAATGGAGCAAGCCACGTAATCAAACTTTGAAGTCAAGGAGCACAGAATTTTCTCAATAATGCTAACATCACTCTTCTTTTCACCATGGAAATGCATTTTATTAGCAAGGGTGAGAGTACGAGAAAAGAAATAAAAAACAATCTCACCTTCCTTCATATGAAGGGTCTCAAAGTCATTGCGCAGAGCCTATTGTTGTGCTCGTTTCACCCTTATATTTCCTTGGAATTTTTCTTATAGAATCCCAAATTCCTTTCGAAGTTTTTTTATCCAAAATAATTTCGAGAATTGAGTGATCGATGGCCTGGAAAAGGTAATTCTTAGCTCTTAAGTCTTTCCATTTTGATCTGCCACCTCCTTCTTCTGTTCATTTGAGTGATTAGCATCATCTGCTACAGCAGAAATCCCAGACTCAACTGCTTGCCAATATTCTCCAGAGCGAAGAAAGTTCTCGATTAACATGCTCCAATGATCATAGTGACCAACAAATTTTGGTATTGCTGGTTGATCGTAGTGACGAACAAATTTTGCTATTGCCGATTGAACAAAACTGTCTTCATCAATAGTCATCTTTAGTTGCGGCTGAAAGAAACAAGACTCTGATACCAAAAGATAAATTTAATAAAGACAAGTTTGCAGAAGGAGGAAATTAAGTACTTTTTATTATGTCAAAGATGACTATATATTTATAGCAGGTACAATGCTTAACAAAAGATAAAAATAAAATCCTAACGGAAACAGAATATCAGGCCAAAACAAAGAATGTGCCATAAGATCATTTCTATGATAAGATATTGGCATAAGATCATATCAGTGATATGATATTCAGAAACTAAGACATAAAAATAGCAACTAAATTTTTTTCAACATTCCCTCTCTTAAACTAACAAGTTTCAATTGACTTGGTGGCAGCCGTTATCAACTTTGAGATCTTCTGGCAAGGTAGAGCTTGTTGAGAATTGTCATGAAGATCCATATTCCTCTCAGCCCTTTTCCCTCCCTTTTTTGGATCTCTTTGGTTCACGGTCCACTTCTTGTCAATCTTAATCGATTCTTAACCTTTTTTATCGCAATGGCTTGTGACATGATTTTTTAGAACACGTAAATTATTTTTGTTATTTAATTTTCTAACCTAATTCAACTTAATTGTAACAAACATGATGTAATTTTCACGAGAATTTGGAAATTGACTAACTGAAATGGATTTCAACAGCGATTCCACCTTAACCATTTCAAGATTGGGATTGGGCAATACCAAGCAAACAGATTAGAATACTTTGATTGATTGAGACTTTTATCAAATAGAAAGATGGATGATTCTTGTCTACTAAAAATTTACAAATAGATTAGAGACATGTCAAACATTTCTTTGTATATTTTTTCAATGTAGGTTGAACATGTAAGATTAAAAAACTGTCAGAAATTTCTCCATATATTTTTATTATATGTTTCTTTAACCTTTAGTTATGTTTAATTCTAAATAAAATCAAAATTGACTCAAATGCTTCTTGTGCGCGAATGAAATGTCAATTTGTAACACCTTAATCTTGGATCGTTGAGATGAAACCTCAAAGTATTCTATTCATATATGAAATATTAGAGGTTTGCTAGTTTATCCTATCATCAAGGCAAGGTCAACAGTGATTTCAAATGATGAGTTGATAGATGATCTCCAAGGGGCTAAATTATGATAAATGATGAGCTCCAAAAAGACCAAGCAACGACAAACTCCAAGAAACTAGAGAAACGATGAGTCCTAAAGGACTAACCTTGGATGATTGATAATAGCTAAATATAAGGAACTAGCTAGATTATCTCGAGACTTTGAAAAACGACGTGTCTTGTCTTGAGCATGTTACGATCACAAAATGCACAAGACAAATGAGAGGGAATCTACCAGAGCTTCAAGTGAGAAAAGATAATCAAGTCGAGTCGAGAGGAAGAGAAGCTTTAAGGAGGTCGTATGGACGAAAGCTCTCCATGTCATCCTTGTCCATTTTCAAAACCTTTATTCCTTATATTTGAGAGTTAGGGCGTTAAAAAACCGATCAGAATCGGTCGAATCGGATACGTCCAAACCTAACTGATTGGTTTGGTCGAATCTTTTTTTGTGAGAAAATTGGTTTGATCAACTGATTAAAATATTATATCTTCTATCAAGAGAACACAGCTATATAAGAGATCATAGTACGAATTGTCATCTTCCACGTTTTATTGAACTCAAGAAAAAAACCAAGACTTGTGCATTTTTGCATCTCATAGCTTCGGTAGATCGGTTAGCCCCATTCATTTTCGGCGCAAGAACACTCGATCAGTGAGCTATTATGCACTCATGATTGAAGAAATATTTATTTTGCACACAAATTTAAGTAAATAAGTAATCTTACGATTTATCCCTCTTTGATAGAGAAAGATCAACCCAAATGGAAGTTCAATAAAGACAATACGACCCGCTTATATTATAAAAAATTTTAGGGTTTAGAGTTTTGGATCAAATTATTGTTAAGAACAATAACTAAATTTGAAAGGCCGAGGTTTGAGCCTATTATTTTGACATCGAGCTTAATAATAGTCGCAGATGGTGAAAATAAAGTTGTTGTCGCACTTAACTTCAGCGCAGCCAATGGATGTTGTGTCCTTCGCCACAATATTCAGGAAATGCCCACACTCTTCCTTCACGCACTTTTTTGTTATGGGGTCATAAAACTCCTTCTCGCTAGCCCAAAACTTCACTGTCAATTCTGCTGTTGTCTTCTCATATGCTTCTGCCAAGTTCTCGGCATAAGGTCCATAGGAATGCTCCATCTCGCACGTAGAGATTCTTGTTTTGGCGTAATCTAGAGCATAGGTAGCCAAAGTTGTGTTCCAAGACACCGGGCCGACCCCATTCTCGGCTCGAATGGCATTGTGGGCATCAACGAAGTCCTTGGGGCTGCTTTTGGCAATCGTTGGAGAGATAGGAACTAGGATTAGAGCAATTCCAACGATCCAAAATGCGGAGAGAAAGTTGAGAGACGCCATTATAACAAGTTTTAGGTGAAGGATTGGTAGGATTGTATTGGTTTGGGATATTTGTGTTTGGTTTAGGGTATTTATGTTAAGAAGATCACATGTGGTTGGATTTTGTTAGTTCAGAAATGCATTGACAGATAAAAGTTTCCTTAAATTCTTCAAAAAAAAAGAAAAAAGTAAATAAATAAATGCAAATTAACTTGGTTGCCAACTTTACTGAGATGTAATTCCTATTATTAAATTACTATTTTTGAGTGCTTATAAACAAAATTAAAGAGTTGGTTGATGAATAAATTATATTATTCTTTTACCAATATAAGAATTTACCAAATATAAGAATTTACCTTAAATTCCTCAAAATTAAATTATTCTGATAGATATAAGAATTTACCAATATTTCTTAACATTTTAATAAATATTTTTAAAATGTGAACATAGACCAAAATATTTAACTCTATAAACTAACTTTGTCGTATGATTGTTGTTTTTGCTTTGTTCTCATCGTTCCAATTAATTGTTCAATATTAGTTTAATTGGATCGGGTTGAGAATTGTCATGAAGAGTTGGTTCATCAATACTTTTGATGCATTTCTAACTTTGATTTATGTACCTATTGGAGTCATTTGGTTCATCTCCCATATCGGTACATGAATTATCTTGATTCATATATAAGCATTAGTATTATTATACTTATATAAAGGTTTGTCTAGTATTATTAAGAGATGTAGAATGAGTGTCATTTTGTATTTGCCTAGAGGCAATTGGGAGAAATTTTGTCTGTGAGATTTTGTAGTGCGAGAGTGTAATAGATAAACTTGTAAATACTTTGATTATAACAATTGGCTATCAACCGTGGATGTAGGAGAATTTATTTTCTCCAAACCATGTAAAAATTCTCCTATATCCACGTACATCCTTGTGTATTTTTATTCATTTATGCTCGTCCATGTTTGAGTGTGATGAATCTTTCTTCAGATTCTGTTACAACAATTGGCATAAGAGCATTTTAGTTATAGTATTTAGGGTATTGCGAAAGATTGAACCTCATCGACCATGAGACGTGTTCACACTCACCATTAATTGTCAAATATAAGTTTCTCTTCAAGTTTGCTTATTTGTTCTTCCAAATCATATTTTCAAAAATTGTGATTATTTTCATCCATTCAGATTATTATTTGGTCTATTTATGTATTTGGTTTTGTATGTTGATTGCTTCCGAGAGAAAAGTGGATACTAGTAAATGTCATTCCAGTATTTGTTATCGGTTTAATATGGCTGGTGGACCTGTTTGTTGGTCCTCAATATTGCATATTACTATTGCATTGTTTACAACCCAGGTAGAGTATATGGTAGTCAGCTATTTGGATGCGTAGTTTTATTAATGACTTGTAGAACAACTAAGCCCATCATGCTTGCACCAAGCATATTAATGTTTGATTTCATTTTGTTCAAATAATTGTTAATGAAGAAGACATTCCTTTATTGAAAATTGAAATTGTTGATAGCCTTGCGGATATATTGACAAAGGGAGTTGCTTGTGAAAAGTTCTAACATTGCTTGGACATACTAACATTGGACGGAAGAAGTAGCCAACTAACATGGTGGCAGTCAAACTGGTTATCAACTTCGAGACCTTCCGACAAGATGGAGCTTGTTGAGATTGTCATAAAGATTTTTTTCCTCTAGGCCTTTTTCCCTCCCTTTTTTGGTTCTCATTGGTTCACAATCGACTTCTTATCAATCTTAATCTTTTTTATTATCAATCTTAATCTTTTTTATCGCAATGGCTTGTGACATGATTTTTTAGAACACATAAATTATTTTCGATATTTAATTTTTTAACCTAATTCAACTTAAGTGTAACAAACTTATGTAATTTTGACGAGAATTTGGAAATTGACTAACTGTAATGGATATAAACAGCGATTCCACCTTAACCATTTCAAGATAGGGAGTGAGCAATGCCAAGCAAACAGATTGGAATACTTTGATTGATTGAGACTTTTATCGAATAGAAAGATGATGATTCTTGTCTGCTAAAAAATTACAAATGACCTGTAGATGCAACTTGTCCTCTAAAGAGTATAACTCTAGGTTTATAATAGAGTAACTTATATAGTTAAGTAATAAAAATTGATTAGATAAAGAATTTAATTAATTATTTTGTGTCGGAAAAGTATATAATCTATAGATGCATAAGGTCTAGTTCCTCGCTCATAGTAATACTAAAATGATCCATTTAATTGAAATAAAAATTTGAAATGTCAAAATTAATATTTAATATAGTAGATACATGAAATCTAAACCAGAAAGTATATTTAATGTTAAATGTTCAAATTAATTTAATATTTTTGATATATTAAATATGAAAATATTCTCAAAATCCCGGTAAATAGGACTCTTGTAGCTCTTCTTTTAAGTGTATCCCACAAGCCTTCTTCAATTTATAGTGTACCTGGAACAAGTAAAATAGAGACTTGTCAAAACTTTCTTCATATATTTTTTTAATGCAAGTTTAACATGTAAAATTAAAAAACGATTAGAAATTTCTCCAAATTTTTTTAATATAAGTTTCTTTAACCTTTAGTTATGTTTAATTCTAAATAAAATCAAAAGTGACTCAAATGCTTCTTCTGCGCGAATGAAACGTCAATTCCTAACACCTTAATCATGGATCATTAAGATGAATTCTCATAATATTCTATTGATATATGAAATGAGTGATATAGTGTGGGAACATTAAAGGTTTGCTTGCTTATCCTTAATCGTGAATCATTAATACAAGGTCAACATTGGTTTCAAATGATGAGTTGATAGATGATCTCCAAATGGCTAGATTATGACAAATGATGAGCTCCAAGAAGACCAAGAAACGGCCAACTCCAAGAAACTAGAGAAACGATGAGCCCTAGAAGACTAGCCTTGGATGATTGATAATAGCTAAATATAAGGAACTAGCTAGATTATCTCGAGACTTTGAAAAACTACGTGCCTTATTTTGAGTATGTTACGATCACAAAGTGCACAAGACAAATGAGAGAATCTATCCAGAGCATCAAGAGAGAAAAGAGAATCAAGTCGAGTCGAGAGGAAGAGAAACTTTAGGGAGGTCGTATGGACAAAAACTCTTTATGTCATCCTTGTCCATTTTCAAAACCTTTATTCCTTATATTTGAGAGTCAGGGTTGTATAGACTTGTGAAAATTACAAAACATGGGTTTAAAGTAAATGTAACTAACTTATTCACATTTAAATAGCACATGTGCTAAAAAAAAATAAACGTGATAAACAATTTATATATCTATTTAGTCTAGAAATATACATTAGTTGCAATTTAAACATAATTCAACCGATTAAAATATTATACCTTGAATCAAGGGATCACAACTATATAAGAGATCATGGTACAAATTTTTATCTTCCACGTTTTATTGAACTCAAGAAAAAAATCAAAACTTATGCAGTTTTAAATCACATAGCTTCGGTAGATCGGTTAGCTCTGTTCACCTTCGGCGCAAGAATGCTCGATCAGTGAGCTATTATGCACTCGTGATTGAAGAAATATTTATTTTGCACACAAATTTAAGTAATTCAGTAATTTTACGATTTATCCCTCTTTAGTGTAGAAAGATGAACCTAAATGGAAGTTCAAGAAAGCCAATACAACCCGCTTAGATTATAAGAAATCACAACTTGGATAATATAACAACAACAACTAAATTTGAAAGGCTGAGGTTTGAGCCTATTATTGTGATATGGAGCTTAAGAATAGTCGCAGATGGAGAAAATAAAGTTGTTGTCGCACTTAACTTCAGCACAGCCAATGGATGTTGTGTCCTTCGCCACCAAATTCAGGAAATGCCCGCACTCTTCCTTCACGCACTTCTTTGTTTTGGGGTCATAAAACTCTTTCTCGCTAGCCCAAAACTTCACTGTCAATTCTGCTGTTGTCTTCTCATATGCTTCTGCCAAGTTCTCGGCATAAGGTCCATCGGAGTGCTCCATCTCGCACGTAGCGATCCTTGTTTTGGCATAATCTAGAGCATAGGTCGCCAAAGTGGTGTTCCAAGACACTGGGCCGACGCCATTCTCAGCTCGAATGGCATTTGTGGCATCGACCCAGTCCTTGGGGCTGCTTTCGGCGATCGTTAGAGAGATTTGAGCTAGGATTAAGGCAATTCCGACGATCCAAAGTGCGGGGAGAAAGTCGGAATATACCATTGTAACGAGTTTTAGTTGAAGGATTGGTGGGGTTGTATTGGTTTGGGACATTCATGTTTGGTTTAGGGTACTTATATGTTGAGAAGATCACATGTTTGTTGTTCCATTGTGTTGGGATAGAAATACATAAAGCGATAAAAGTGGAGGAAACATTCAAATTCCTTAAATTTCTCGAAAGAACCAAATGGCTAATCTCTTTCCTCAAATTAACTTGGTCCACAATTTTAAACCGATGTAATGCCTATTATTGAGTGCTTATAAACAAAATTAAAAGGTTTATTATAAATATAAGAGTTTATTAATATCTCTGAACATTTCAATAATTATTTTTAAAATGTTAACAAACCATGTGAACATAAAACAAGAATATCAAACTCTATAAACTAACTTACATTGTAATATTTGTGGCGGAATAGGATTAATAAGCTCACCTTGTTCAAATGATTCTCAGATGGTCATTCTAACTGATTGATTGTTGTTGTTCTTATCGTTCCAATTGATTGTTCCATCTTAGTTTAATTTGTTCTTGTTGAGAATTGTCATGAAAATTTGGTTCAGGAATACTTTTAGTACATTCTCTATTTCAATTATGTACCTATGGTATTCATTTGGTTCATCTCCCACCTTGGTATATGAATTATCTTTATTTATGTATGCGCATTAGCATTATTATGCTATATAAAAGTTTGTTTAATGTTGTTATGAGATGTGGAGTAAGTGTCATTTTGTATTTGCCTAGACGCAATTGGGAAGAATTTTGTAAATGAGACTTTGTAGTGTGAGAGTGTGGGAGACACACTTGTCTACA